CGAGGCCACGCCCCCCGCCCCTGAGGGATCTCTGGAGGTCATCTCCTCCAAACCCCACCCAGAGCAGGTCCCACAGGAACGTGTCCAGGTGGGGTTTGGATGTCTCCAGAGATGGAGGCTCCACCACCTCCCTGGGCAGCCTCTTCCAGGGCTCTGCCACCCTCAAAGGGAAGAAGTTCCTCCTCATGTTGAGGTGGAACCTCCCATGTTCATGTTTGTGCCCGTTTCCTCTTGTCCTGTCCCTGGGCACCACTGAGGAAAGACCAACCCCATCCTCTTCACACCCACCCTTTGAGTATTTATAGGCGTTGATTAGATTCCCCCTCAGTCTTCTCTACAGTCCCACCAGCCCAGGTTGCTCCAAGCCCCCTCCAACCTGGCCTTGAACCCCTCCAGGGATGGGGCAGCCACAGCTTCTCTGGGCAACCTGGGCCAGGCTCTCACCACCCTCACACCAAACAAGTTCTTCCCCATATCATAGAATCATAGAATCATAAAATCATAGACTCATAGAATCGTCTGGGTTGGAAGGGACCTTAAAGATCATCTAATCCAACCATCAACCTAACTCAGGAAAAAAAAATAACTAAGAAATAAGCAATTAAAAAAAAAACCCAACAAAAATCACTAAACCGTATTCTTGAGGACCACATCTCAGCTCCTTCTCCCCTCTTTCAGGGTCAAACCCTTCCCCCTCCTCCTAGGGCTCCCCTCCCTCATCCAGAGTCCCTCCCCATCTCTCCTGGAGCCCCTTGAGGGACTGGAAGGGGCTCCAAGGTCTCCCCGGATCCTTCTCTTCTCCAGGCTGAACCCCCCCAGCTCTCTCAGCCCCCCCTCACAGCAGAGGGGCTCCAGCAAAGCAAAGAGGTTCCTCCTCATGTTTAGGTGGAACTTCTTATGTTCCAGTTTGTGCCCTGGATTTCGAGTGGATTTGAAGTCCTGGTGTCCAGGGCAGGCTGAGCTCAGCGCCTCCTCCCGGGATGCCCCCCCGGGATGCCTTCTCAGGAAATGATTTTAGAAATCGGTTTAGCAATTTATAGTGAGGCAGCCCCTTCGTATCGGTTAACAATAAGTTAAATACGGAGCAAATACTCTCTTTAGTTAATGCTCCAGATTTCCTCTTGAGGCAATGATTTTTATTTTTTTTTTTTCTGAAAGCCCAAAGGGTCATTTGGGTAACATTAAAAGTGAGATTTTTCATATTTAAGGAAATTGAATTTTCGGAAGGAACTCATCAGCGTCGTCCAAAAAGCCTCTTTTTCCTTCCACAGGGTCTGTTCTCATCAGTCCTGATGTTGCTTTTCCCATCTATCACTTGTTTCCGCTGGGGAAGTAATGGAATAGCGGATACTTCTCCCAAATTCCGCAGTGTTTTGAGTGGCTTCAGTTCTCCTCTGTTTCAGGGATTTATTTTCCCTCCCTTGGCAGAGCACATCCATCCTTGGACACAAATCAGGGACATGGGATCAGCCCTCCCCTCTGCAGGAATTACTGTGGCCCCTCGGAGCGTGAGGACGGGCAGCCCCCCCGCAGCCCCATCCCTCGTGGCCTTTTCAAGGGCATTTAACCTGTTTTGGGGGAACTGTCTGTGTTATTTTTCACGGGTGCTGACCATGTCGTTTTCATGAAGCTTGTCTGGGTTTTTGGGAGGGGCTGCTGCCCCCGTCCTGTGTCCCCGCAGCAGCAGGGGAGGGATGGAGCTTTGGAAGGGACTTGCTGGGGGAAAAGGGTGTTCTGTGTTTAATTTTCACGAGTGGCCCAACGCTTGTCTGCCGTTTCAGGTGACGCCGTCTCCCTTCCAGGCTTTCACTATTTTAAATTACACGCCCAACGTGCCCCTCTCTCCGCCAAGATTGGTGAGGAACTTGTGAAACGAGCACAAATAAGCTTCTAAACCAGATCTCACACCTTT